TAACTGGTAAAGATAAGATTAAAGCTAATATTTAACGATACCTTTTAATTACCAAGCAGCTTTCATATATTTTGAAAGAAATAAAAAAGACAATAAGGAATTAAACAAGGTCTGCAATCGAGCTGAAGTTAGATGACAAATTTAAATAAAAAAAAATTTTTTAATGACGAAATTATACAGGCGAGACTTAAATTATTCATCATTTATTTGTGCGCAATATACTCTATTAAATTATTAATATTAATGACATACGTACACATTATTTTTAATAGTCTGTATAATACGTTCAATTATTATTGAGTTATTGACAGTATAGATGCGATCTAATATCTGACGTATACATATAGAAATATGAGAACTTTCGGTTTGTAAAAAAAGAAAATCGTTAGTTGTTTTTAGGAAATGACGATGCTGTCCCTCATCATATGTTTGCTACCTCTAGCGGCAAGTATACCTGTAGAAGTTGGAAAAATCAATAAAACTTCAAAGAATTTGATCGTGAACATCGAAAACAGTATCCTGAAAGATGTTCGATTTGTTGGAAATTTTGACCATACGGAATTGAATTTATCAGACCTTCCGGGTCTTCGTGCGCTGGAGAAAAATGCCTTTGATAATGTGCTTGATGTGGAGTCTCTCATACTTGCCAACAATTCGTTAACTTCTCTGCCGGATTTTGTCTTCTCTAATCTGACAAAATTGAAGAGCTTATCGTTATCGGATAATCAAATATCAAATGTCCGAAATCTTTTTGTCGGCTTGGAAAATCTGCAGTTGTTGGATATATCTCGCAATCCTATCAGACATTTTGGAAGGGGCCACCTGTTTGGTCTCACCAAATCCGTTAAAATTCTCACTGATGGAAATATTCTCTGGAGCATCAGCACAGGCGTATTCGCTAATTCTTTCCTTAAAGACACCGAGGAGATAAAGCGACTGGCAGCAACGCAAAATCAGGAAAATCCTGTAAAGGAGCAAAAAATCGACAAAAGTAAGGTAGCCACGGAATCACAGGATCGAAAGATCGTTGAAACTGTTATCGGAAATACTCGACTGAAAATTTGCAAATCTGATGGTATCGTAACATTATTGGAAATTCTTCTGAAGGACGAAGAACTTGTTGACGGATGTGTCGAGGTGCCAGTTGATACCTCGATGCAAGTGAATCTCGCTGAACTGGGTATCAAAGGTTTCCAGGAAGATTGGTATCGATTACAATCTCTACCGGTCGCCTCGTTGGATCTGTCGAACAATGAAATCACCGAGATCACAAAGGAGACACTGAATAATCTGCCGTCAAGTTTGAGATATGTAAACTTCCAAGGGAATAAAATACGCAGGATCTGGAGTCAAGTGATCGAGAACGATCACTTGAATATACTCAACTTGAGAAACAATTTGATCGAGGAGATCGAGGAAGGTGCGTTTGCCAAGACAGATCTACATGAATTGTATCTCTCTGGTAATCAACTGGAGAGTCTGAATTTTGTCTTTAGTCTGCCGGATGCCCTGACCGTGTTTCTTGCGAACGGAAATCACATAATCTCTATTCCCGATGGCGTGTTCTCCAAACTCTTCCGTTTGAGCTACTTATGTCTCGACAACAACAAAATCGAAGCATTGCAGAACGATGTCTTCCAAGGTTTGAAGTTCTTGTTAACGTTAACATTGGCGGGGAATGGTATAAAGACGATTGAACCAAACGCTTTCAAAGGCTTGACAACGCTGCAGACACTTGATCTTCGCCACAATTCTATACGTGATCTCCAGAAGGGTACTTTTGCTGAGTTGATTGATCTGAGGCAGTTGAACCTCGCCAATAACAAGATCTCCAAGATCACGTTTACCGATCTAGCGCAATCCGTGGACTCCCTACATCTCGATTATAATGAGATCGATATTCTCGAGGAAGGCAATTTTGTTCGAACTCCAACATCCACCTTATCCTTGACCGGAAATAGAATTTCTAACATAATGCGTGGTGCTTTTAACCTGCCAACTCTGAGGGATCTGTATTTGAACAACAACACTTTAACTACTATAGAGGGTGATAGCTACGAAGGCTTGAACCTGTTGAGACGTCTCTGGCTTTCAGAAAATAAAATATCCGAGATTCGCAAAGGAGCTTGCAAAAATCTAGGAAATCTTTACATTTTAGATATATCCAAGAATCCTTTTCAGAAGCTGGAAAACGGCACTCTTCATGGTCTCAATACAGCCTTTGGTACCAGCTTGTACGTCTTCGAGAACAATTTGAAGGAGATACAAGGCGGCGTTTTCGACGATGTTTAAAATTCTCTTCTTTTAATTCAAATAATTTACATATATATTTCTTCTATTAAATAGTCTTGAAAAATAACATATAAAAATGATTAGTCATTTTTACGATCATTCGGAAAATTTAATTCCATTAGATTACATTATAAATAAACTATTAATATGAAATATATGTTCATACAGATTTTATAAGAGAGCATTTTTTTATTTTACCTAGAAATATAAATCAACGTCATAAAATTGCAACACATATACATATATTGAGAATACAGAATTTTTAATACTAGTTATATTTGAACGTATCAAAATATGTATAAATTCGCTAAATTAATTCTGAAAGACATTTTTGCACAATTTACCGAACAAGCGGAAACTTACATTATCGCGATATAAATATTTTAATGCATACAACTTTTGAGCAAAAAAGTTGTTGATGTTTGAAAAGCATTGTACATGTGATATCTTTAAAAAATATTATTTTTGGTTGCTTTCATCCGTATTTTTCCTAATATATGTAATTATTTTTCCGCACGAATTCTGCACTTTCAAGAAAACGAAATCATGATGAAATGAAATTGCAAATTATCAATCAAGCATAATTTATGTAATCATTACAAACGATTATATGTCGTTTCTCTTAATATGTATTAATCGAGAGCACCTTCTTCGTGCGATTGCTCGACCGTTTATAATTGTGTTAATATTCACTCGAGAAAGGCAGAGACAGAAACAATTTTCGCAAAAGTGACCGATGATTCACTTTCACCAAACATGCCTATAAATCCACGTATAAAACTACTACAGCAATAATAATAATCCGTCCATACGAGATGAAATGTGCAACTTACATCTGGCTGGCCTTGACTTTCACATGAAACCTTTCAACTTCCAAGTCCATTGGGTTCTTGAGACCCGTTTGAAGGTCGCTGTTAGAAAATTTTTCTATTTTTTTTTCCACTTTGAACTACTAACGGTATATCGCGGTCGAAGCATTGTATAAGCAAATTGAATAATCGAACATCCTCGTAATTAGAAATTGAGAACCGGAAGTTTTTTGTCCATTTACATATTTATAATACATTATACTTGATATTAATAAAAAAAGATGTCTAATATAAATGTATATATAATATATAAATAAATAAATATTATTATCAGTTTGCAAATAAAAAAGATATCTTAAATTTAAACAATTGATCACGTACGGGTTAGAAGACTGGTTTAAGTGGGATCATCTTGTGGTATATACATGCGTTACACATATAATGATCTCTGTTACGTATTTTGAGATTGAGCCAATTGAAATTGGCTATAATTTTCAACGAGCTTGGGTCTCGACGCTGTATTATAATTTCATTGGAACAGGATAATTTCGTTTCACGCCACATCGATCGTAACAATTATGTGTGACAAAACAGGCGGCGTTTCCACCGCAAACCGGAAGTAACTAGTCGGCGTACGTAATTACGTAACACATATTCCTTGGGTTTAATTAACTCGTGGATAAACCTTGATCATGCTCTTAAAGCGCAGCGATCCTGTCTTCCTTAAGCAGGCAAGTTCTTCTTCGTGGTGCCCGGCGGTACGATCTGACGAGTCGATTTGTTTAATTGGATCTCGAGGGGTTCGGGTTAGATCCTCCAACAGATAGGGCTCGCATCTTTGTTGCATTTCTCACTGCGATCGCACATTTACGATGATAACCGCGCACAACTAATTGGCGCGAGCTTAATGAGTCTCCGACTTTCTTTCGCAGCCATCTTGGCTTAAAAGCCCGAATCGTTAGATATAAAAAGATATACTCGCGTCCGGTTTCCTGCTCGAATGAACTGCCAGTTACGATTTCACGGCGACTGAGGTTCTGCCAAAGAAGCACTGGTTCTCACATACCAAGTGCTTCCCGTTCCGTAGCGAAGGTCCCGGGCAATTTCGTGGCATTGACACTGAATACTCAGCGTTCGTCATTTCCGGTTTTGCCAACGGTACTGTAAGATTATCGATCGACGTACATGTTGGTGGTATCATAATGACGGAATATCAAGGAACTTCAATTTTACAGCTCACTAAATTTCATCCTCGATTCGTATCTAGAAATCTCTTAATACTAAATTTCACGAATTGGTTTACGGGCAATACTTGGGATTGGATCGTGTATGGAATATTATACAAGTAATTTTATTATATTGTTAAGTGAATAAATAATTAAAAATTTTATAAGTTTTCATTATCTATTGAACAAATATAAAATTAAAGATAACAATTCTAATATATTATTAATATCTATAGCTGTATTACTTATGTCAATTTTAGTAATAACATCGTCCTATTGCCATCATTAAGCATTTTCGATAAAATAAAATTTTAAGATGAAAAGATCACGCAGAAAGCATAAAATACGCAAGTTTAGCAGTACAGACCCTGATGAAAATGACAAGTTTCCTGAATGTTTTTTTTTGGACGCTTAAATAAACGTTTGCAGGAGTTCGTTGAGAGTAGAAACGTTCAATAGAGTGTTCGTAAAGCGAAAATTGCAACGCTGCAGCGTTTGGAAAACAGAAGCGTTTTTTGAGCATCTCCAACTTTGACAGTGAACTCTTTGCACAAAGGCATCAGCGTTTATTGAGTGTCCTCTGAAAAGCGTTGCTTTAGCATCACAAAACTTTCATGAAACGATATATACTGTATTTTATAAGAGTTCTGAAAGTGTTTAAAACCCACTGGTGTTGTGTAAGCGTTCTTATAAAGTTTAAAAGTGTATAAACTTTTAAAAAATCGTCATTGAACGGTTGTCAACGTTTTATAAAGCTTTCTTATTTCCGTCAGGAGAGTAGAAATTCAATGAATGTCGGTCAGTAGATCTTATGTCGGCTGAAAGAAAAAGAGGATGCCGTCGAATTTCTTAAGGTATGTTTTAAGTAGGACAGATACCTTGACTCCCGGGAGAAAGGTCCCGGTTCGTTGACCTTCGTAGCCGCTGATGGACACCAGCATGTAACATCTAGAAAGCAATATAATATGTATGTACGCTGAACATATTGATATCTTTGTATTACTTTGTATGCTCATCTTATTTTAGATCAAATGCACAAACATATAATAAACGAACTGGTAATCTAATATTACATCATACATACTACGTTACTATTTATTTTAAACACTTGATTTTTTTTTATTTTGATAGTAAATGAATTTAGAAAGACTCTGTTAACTCTAATTACTGATTACATATATTTATACAATACACATACGTATATAATGCTATAGTATCTATATCAGTACTAAGAATTATGAGAGTCTTCTTGAACTTGGATATTTCGAAATATAAAACCGACATAAGTATGAGATGTTTGTACATATATATAGATATGCATATACTGTATTGTATAATTCTTTTCTTTATAAAATCCATTCTTTAGATCGATCAAATAACTTAATTATAGTCAACAATATAAGTATAAACGTATATTTTATTAAAAAAAGGAATTAGACCACAGATAATGATAACCATAAGCATCAGCGTGTTGTGTATAACTGCTTGTAATTAGTTAGTATATAATTAATGCTTTTTTTCTAATCATCATAGAATGAAAGGGACGATCGTGCATTTTATGAATACGTGCATGTGACATCGCATCATTGTTATTATCTGTAGTTTATCCAAATTTTATTATGTAAATCACAGATAAACGACGCGATATGATATACGAGGTCTGTCCCAAAAGTGTCCGACCTTTGCCTGTATCATGAGAAAGAGCTATTCCGGAGTGATATGAACAACTTCGTCTTCAAAGTAGTGTCCTTCCGAAGCAATGACCTTCTGCCAACGGTGCACCCACTTGCGAAAGTAATCCTGGAAGTCGTTTTTTATGATAGCCAACAACTCCCTCGTCGCATTTCGCTTTATTTCCTCAACATCGTCAAATCTTTCTCATTCCCAGATCTTCAGTCAATATTCGAGAAACAATAGTTTTTGGGATCCCAAAGTTCTCTTCTAACTCTCGCCCAGTCAAACGTCGATTTTTGTTGATTGCGTATAGCACACGTTCCACGTATTCCGCTGTTTTCGACGTTGAAGGTATGCCGGAACGAGGATCACTGTCCACTGAGACACGGCCATCTTTGAACCGTCTAAATCATTCTTTTATTTGTGTGTCACTCATAGAGTCATTACCATAAACTTTACGGATCATGTCGATTGTCTCGGAACATGTGTGGCCAAGTTTTTGGCAAAATTTAATACAAATTCTCTGCTCGACTCGTTCAATCATTGTGAAATGCGACGCTCGGAGTTTTCGACGCTCACATAACTGTGTACCGTTGCCGACTAAACAGCTGTTGGGTTGTGCCGCTTAGTGGGGGTACTCCTAAAGGTCTACGCTAAATACTGAATACCTGTTTTCCATAATAGAATGCCCAAGGACAAAGATATACGCAGAAGTCGGATACTTTTGGGGCAGACCTCGTATACCTATGACGCATCTATCTTAATACTTGCAAAATACAAAATTGAAAGACCAGAGACCTAAACGACGATCTCAGAAGACTTTCGATACTTAATTTTTTTCTTATTGGTTTCATAATTGTCGTTTATAACCAGTCAACGTTATCTCCATGCTCATATGCATCTGCAAATTCATCTTTCCATAGTTCTTTTTTGCATAAATCCATAAACCGCATGCTCGCGGAATATAGAAAGCGGAGATCGCTATGGTCGCTATATAGTTGAAGAAATTGTGCGTAATTACTTTCGAGAATCGCTCCGTATTTTTAACAGCCGCCGGCAAAGAGAGCCATTTTATCTTAACTGGTATAAAACCGGAAAAATTTTAAGCCGCTTGATTGCTTCTGCCTTCATTTAATTTAACCAGCTGATTATATAATGTGGCCGGACGAAAATAAACTTGTTTTAGAAATTAAGCACGTCTTAGATATTAAATATAATATTGTTACAAGAATTGCTGTTTTTTTACTCGCGTGTACTAATATATATGTCATCAGTGACACCTATTATTATTGTCAATATTATTCTAAATGTAGACATTTAGAATTTTTGCAACAGACGTATTATAACGTATGATAACAAAATACTGAAGTTACGATTAATCCAATAAATGATAGCAAAAAGTTATGAATCCTTGCATGGGTGTATCAAGGGAGGGATTGCGGGGGTTCAAACCCTCCGAAATTTTTTATTAATTACTTTATTTTGAGAGATTCTCGTTAATGCACATCCATAGCACACATTCTCTCACATCGATCGGTGCCTAACAATTTTTCTCTGTCTTATTAATGAGAATATTTTATTTTGAATTGGTCACAATTAGCGATGTACTCAATCGAAATTTCTCTTTCATTTTTAATTATAAAAAACATACAACTTTACTTTTGACTTTGAGTGAGTTTTTTGCTGTTACATATAATATTTTTTTCTTTTCGTTATACCTAAGACCATATAGGGGAAAGTGAGGAAACTATGCGCAGCGGGTAATTGTGCGCATTCTGATTTGGTACTTTTCCAATGAATGAAGACATCACCGTGGTGAAATTTTTACGCAGGAGGTCGCCTCTTAAGATATAACTACAAAAGATACGACGTAAATACGTTGCTAAATAGAAAAATACAAAAATGTGAAATCACATTTTTTTTTGTTATTTTAGAAACATTTCAGAAAATAAGGTGGTAAGTCCATATTTTTAATTCGTTTGTTTAAAGTTGCATAAGTTATTAAAGTATGTTATTATATGCATCTTTTACGCCGTTATTCATTGGGCCCCCCCTCCTTGATACACCCATACAAAGATTCATAACTTTTTGCTATCATTTAAGTTTGATTAGGAAGTAATCGTATTTCATATCGAGTTAGGTCGCGGCGAGCAACTGTGCGCAAGCATTTTGAAATGCGAACAATTATTTTCCATATACTGTATGATTAGCATTAATTTTTTCGTTTTTTCTTTGCATTATTATTTTATTTTGCCATTATATTTTGCCAAAGTCTATGTGCATTATTATTATTATATTAGTTTTGTATTTTTGCTTAGTATATATAGTATATATTTAAAATATATTTAATATATATTTATATTGCAATGTAATAAATATATTTTCTGATTTCTTTCATCAATATTCCATAATTCATTCATTTCCTACGACTTTTGCTTTGCGTACAATTATCCAACCCATGCGCACAATTACTCGACGCGTGAGAAATTTTTTCACTTTTCTGTTTTTTCTTTTTTACCAAATACAACCTTATTGAATGAAAATCTGTTCAATATAAGGATTCATAATGGTAGAAGAATGTTTATAGTTTCTATTTCCATACTTATATCACTTGAAACTTGGAAAATTATTCCAGAATAATAAATTTCCCTTAGGTGCGCGCGTACAATTCACGCACCACTTTACCCTATTATAAATAATTTTTAATACTTCTGTTAGTTCGAGCATACAATAACAATATTAAAAAATTAAACATTTTGCTTATAGTAACTGGATTGTCTTTTTTTTTAAATGTCTTTAAAAAAATAAGTAAAAGTTACATGATGTACAAAACGTAATATTTTTCCTCTTCAAAATGAGGTACGAGGAGACATCAAAAATTGTAAAAATATCCAAATAGAATTCATTAATGTTAAAAATTGTAAATCACAGCAACAAAATTGCTGTGCAGTGACATTCTTTTCAGTACAATAGCAGAATCCTTTATTTTTTTTGGTTATCATTCCGGTTGGTGCACGATATATCCCTGGATTGATAGAAAATCCTCCCCTCCCCCGAAAAAAATTCCACAATACGCCCATGTATTGTGTCAAGTCATCAAAATCGCAATTTTAATTTAATCACTGTTGAATGATCTTTACGTGACAAGAGATCTCGCAATCATGTCCGAAGAACCGTGAAAGTAATACAGACGATCGTAAAACTCAATTTCCATCGGAAATGTATGTAAATATGCATGTTCGTTGGCGTTCGTCAAAAAATGTATTCAAGCAACCGCCTGCATACATATATGTATAAGTTTCTCCAGCGGCGAGTATGTACCACCTTTAATTGGCAACCTGAATCAGTTCGCTGACTTGATAATTATCCGGCTGAGAAGAAACATCTCGTGCGTGACACCGGCGAGTTGAACCGAAGCCAACGACCTAATCGCAAAAATTAATAGCCGAACAGACGATTTACCACTCGTGATGAGCCAATTATACCGCCATGCGTGACCTGCTTTCCAAGATAATCGTTTAATAACATATCCGAGCGAAGAATTGTTCATTCATGACAGTCATGACGTACCTGTATGTAACCGTCAAGCGCAATGTCTCATATGTATGTATAGTTATCTAGTTTAATAAGAGTAATGCTTATATAATTTTCTGAAGAAAAATCTCGTGCTGGTCGTTAGTAAGTAATTGGAGATATCGAGTACATGTGATTAGAAAAATTTGAGAAATTTCGCTTCTATGTTCTATGTGCAAAGGAAGATAGCATGATCTCGCGATTACAACTCCATACATGTGGTGATCACATAATCCGATATAGCTATTTATAAGAATCACTTTCCACTTGCGAGATTCGTAAATATACGAGGAAATGTGATTCCGTAAGTCGTATAACCTCGATATATACAACATATAATCTTAGCTGGTGTCGAATTTTGTTACAGAAATATTACTAGCCGAGCATTTTGCACGAAACTTCGTATTTAGGATAACGACGAAGATTTTTTTTATTACACTTGAAGAATTTCTCGGAAAAACTTTGCAACCATTACTTTTGTAAAAAGTAACATTTTTGTGGGAAAGCTTATGCATTGACTAAATATGTAGTGAAATGTAATGATAAAATCCACACGAAACAGGGAGTTATAGGCAAAGAAAATTGATTAGTAGAAGAATGTTGCTTCTGCGAGAACGTAACAGGCGCAATTTTTAATGTGATTAAATTAATTCTATTTCGAGCCAAATATCGTCGGAAGTATAAAAGATGAAAAAAAATTTTTAAACAAAATTGTACGGTTTCAAAAGTAATTTCAATGTTGTGAAGAAAAAAATTTTTAATTTTTGTTTAACAATTATTAAAAAAAAAAATTTAAAAAATGTTTTTCTTCACAACATTGAAGTACGCTTGAAACCGTATAATTTTTGTTTAAAAATTTTTTTCCATCTTTTATACTTACGACGATATTTGGCTCGAAATAGAAATATCGTTTTTTTTTTCAAAGGAGTGTTTCACCCCTTAAACATGAGTTAGCGCATGTATAAAAAAATACGTGTCTCTTAGATTATTGTGTTTAACAATATATTTCACGGAGAATCAAATCGGTGCCGGACAGTTGAGTGATGTCCCTTGTCAGTATACTGAAGATGACCAGATGGTCGAAATGGTTATCGATGTATACATCTAAAGTGATTTAATATATATAATTGCATTGTTACCTTGCGATAGCTTTTATATTCCTTTATTGATCAATTTTTACTTTAATGTTTTTTTTTATTTCCTGTTCAAATTAAAAATATTATATGTAACATTTTTCCAGGGAATTCAATTGTGCATCAGTTTTCTTAGATTATGGTTATTATAATTTGAGTTCATGAAAAATAACATTACATTCTGATATTATTTAAAAAATAAATTATACGACTAACGTTGATAAATAAATTCATTTTTGTACAAAATATGAACTATCCAAAGAACCATTTAAGGGGATGCTGGAGCCGCCTGTATCACCGATAAAACTAGCGTTTTTGATGTTTTTGTTCCTGTCGAATTTCTTCGTAATGGTTTCACAGAATAAAAATTTCTTTTTCACGATTAAAATGTACACGCTAATGTATTTGTCGCTGGTGTATTTTGTGTTCAAAACTGGAAAAAATAAAAAGTTACAGATTTCTTTATCCATTTTTATCTCAGTATGACGACCAACGCTGAAGGTAAAATGAATAAAGAAATTTGTAATTTTTTAATTTTTTCTAGCTTTGAACACAAAATACACCAGCGACAAATACATTAGCATATACATTTTAATCTCGATTTTAATCGTGAAAAAGAAATTTTTATTCTGTGAAACCATTACGAAGAAATTTGACAGGAATAAAAACATCAAAAACGCTAGTTTTATCGGTAATACAGGCAGCTCCAGCATCCCCTTAATACTTTCTACGAATGTAATGATTGATTAATATTAACTTGAACAATTTGAAAAACATATTATAACATTATGAGAGAGACTTTCAAATTTGTATATTTTTTTTGTACTGATCTGCATAATCCCTATAAGCGCAAAATATTCCTATAATGTTATATGAATGTGATTGAAAAAATTAAAATAATATTATAATATTTCGAAAATATATTACGTAATATTTTTAATATTGTGGGAATATCCTATAGATGTTACATATCCACTTTATATAATATCCTTGGTATTATGCCTTTAATATCCCTGAATATTATTAAAACATTTATTAATATAATTTTTATGTAAGTGCAATTTGAATTCACAATAAGTAACAAAAAGATTACCGGTTTATGTTGCATCTTAATGCTTAAATAATGTTTCGGTGTGATTTTATGTACATATTCAGTTCTACAACTGCGCGCCAAAATCATTTTCAGTCTTTAAATGTAATTTTGAACTGAACTAAGGTAATAATATTACAAATTAAAGTAAATGTTATTAAAATATTTTTTAATGTTCATACGATACAGTAACATTAAATAATTTTTAACTTACTCTTAATAATCATATAATTATAATATTATCAAGAGTGGACATATAACCATCAATTTCAAGAATATTATTTAATATTATATAATTTTAGTAAAATATTATTTAAATGTTACAGTTAATATTCTAAGAATATGCTTAAAATATTACTTAATATTAAATAATATTATGTGCTTATAGAGATTGCATAGAAAAAGAATAATGATGATATACGATTACATTGAATTGTACGTATACATGCACATTTACGTTCCCGAGTAAGGACGACAAGAAATATCACAATTTCCGCATTCTGCGTAATGCTTGCAAAACATAAAGTTTCATGGAACTGATGGAACGCTTCAATGATGCCAAAAAAAATCGAGAATATTGCAAACGTTCTTTTTTGATAGTTGAGGTGTTATATTTATGTTATATAACATTATACTATATTAGCAAAAATTGAAATAACCCACAACCGCATGAAGGTGGAGAAAACATACTCAACATCCAAAAAAAGTAAAAAAGTAGTAAAAAGAAAGGATAATAATTTGAGAATATTGTGCAAGATTTTTTAAAAGTCTGTTTTCTTTCCTATAATAATTTGTTTTTATTGATTATTTTAAATCTCTCATACGATATATATACTCGTAATACAACTAATCATAATCAAATTTTATTTATGGTTATGTTTCTGTTTTATTGTGCATGTTTGTTATTATATATGTATGTATATATAAAAGCAGACACTATTTTGTTATTTGTATACATTATATATTTTCAATTATTATTTTCGTAATTAATTATAAGTAATAACGGGGATTAAAGGAAACAGAAAAACTAGTAGAAATTAATTGACTTTCTAATTTACTTGAAATAAATTTCTTTTTCCTTTCTCTTATATTTTTTATATATGTATGTGTGTTTATTTATTTATTATATGTATATTATCACGTATATTCAGATTTATTGTAAAACGTTATATTATCAATTCACAAATCTAATCAATTGTATCACTTTATTATTTGTTATGAGAAAAAAAACATGTAATACATAAAGAACATAAATCAATAAAACACATAAAACTTAAATTACTTTTCGATAGGCGTAAACAATGTATAGGAATATATTTGTAAATAATCAGTTAACTAAAGTGTTGTTCCAAAAAATTTTTGACATGTTTAAATTACTTTTTACGCTGTATAAAAGACTCATCTTTTCTCTATCACTTTGAAGGATGAGGCGAGGGTATAATAAGGAAATAAACAAAAATACAAAGTTAATAACGGAATGTAAAAGACGATTATTGTACAGAATTTTAATTATTAATTATTTTGACTATGCGTGTCTGTGTCAGCATTGTCAGAAGCATGTTTTCACGGAGATTTGTATAGGAGAATCACAGATTTCTAAACTATCTTCGCATTTTCTTTCTCTCTATAATGAAAGAGGGTATAACGATATAGTCAATTAAATCGATTTAGAAAATATCACTCCTATCAACAATTCTTAGATTGTTGATACCACAACGTATATAATTGTTACGTTTGTAAAATGGTCTTAATCTCGTACTGTTGGCCAATAGGGAAAGAATATTCTGAAATCAATTACATGTCGTTAAATTGGGATATTGTTCCTCGATAAGCATACTTATTTTTATTCATCAACTGTATGCTTCGATATGCTTATCTACCGCGCGGGATAAAAATACTATTCACTTCGTACAATACTTTATCGTAAATGTAGTTTGTTAATATAATTCAAGATTCTTTGATTTCTATTAAGCGAAATCTGGGATAATCTGAAGGAAAGTTACTCAGATATTGTGGTTTGTTATAGTGGTAATAATAAAAATACTTTGGATTAGAAAAATTTAATGCAATCAGCAATTCAATGTACTTGCAGCGGCGGTTGCAACACTGATGAGAATATTCAACTATTTTCCTTTCGTTTTGCTTTATTCATCGAGATCGTTGAAAACGTTTGACCAAAGTTTGTGCGGATGGTACGCTCTTTTAGATTTTGTAATTTTATTTCGGACGGAATCTTTTGAGAATTCATTCCGTCTAATAGGATGTAGTCAATTCTTTAGCACGCGCAATCACAGGCGCAACGACGTACACGCTTTTCGCGACGATGTAGGAAGACTTCATCTGGTACGGAACGTACGGAACGTGGTTGCACGTCTGTAAATAGACAGATAAATATTAATAATATACTTGAATTCTCTAATATTAAACTATTATATATTTAAGTTCACAATCTTTTTTCATCTCATATCTTAATTATTTCATTTATAACAAACAATTTTAGTATTAAAAGTAAATTAAGAATAAAAATATAATCTAATAAAAAAAAAGGAATTCTAAGAATGTAGAAATTCAAATTTAGAGCAAATAAACTTTTATTTACAATGTGGGCGGGATTCCTCTTGCATAGATTGTTGTTGCTGTTGCTGTTGCTGTTGTTGTTGCTGTTGCTGTTGCTGCTCTTGTTGCTGTTGAATGCTTATCAAATGTACCGCCTGATGCTGCTCTTGTTCTCGATGTTCAGGTTGTTGTTGCTCAGTGGACTGGCCATCGGTCACTTCAGCATGCGCTTCTACTGGTACCTCCAAAGACTTGACCGGTCTTAACGCAAATCTCGGAACCGGGAAAGCACGACCTTCTACAACCTAAAATTTCAGAAATCCATTAATTAATTAATTATTTCATTAAAATAGGTTACATAATGTTATATCGAATGTTCTAAGAAAAAACAAAAGATAAAATTTGTCAAAATGATTATTCAAATCGCGCCTCCGGAGAGTCTCAAGCCTATAACTTTATCTTCAGAAAATAAATCTCTGAGCAAAAGATTGGCAGCGGTGGGATTCGAACCCACGTCTCCGAAGAGACTGGTGCCTTAAACCAGCGCCTTAGACCGCTCGGCCACGCTACCAGTTGCCTTCTTTTTCAGCAACGTTCAACCATCGATTCTAATATTTTTCGCAATAAATTTAATTACAGTTTTTTCAGCATATTTGAAATATGATGCCTGTTTGAGAGCATCGAAATTATTAGAAATTAATTTAATTCGCGAGATTACTACAGTAGTTTAATTGCGTTTATATAGTCCGGAAATTTTTCGGCGCAGTTTGTTGGACTACAGGTGTGGTATATATGAATACAAGTGTAGTATATATGTTAAGTACATATATAGCATATTTAGTAATTCAAGATTGAATTATTTAAGCATTTTAAGATCTAGCTTCGACCGATACAGGGTTCTAGTTTATCGATTGTATTCTTTAAATAGATTTTATATTAATTTTAAATTAATAATTATCACAAATAATCTTATATAAATTATCAATATTGATAAAAAAATTTTTTATTAACTTTGATGTATACACATATATGTATATGAGTATGTATGCTCTTTTTATAATTTTACCTGATGAATTATGTTGCGGATTTCCATAGGAATAGGGAAGTTTCTTTCTACTTCATCGCTATCATCCTCCGGACCTGGGAAAGGTTTCGCTTCCTGTTGCTCTTCGCTACTATCCGGACGTTGACGACCTTCAATGTTTCCATGCTCAATCAAGTTTCTCACTTCTACCGGAAGTGGGAATGGTCCTAATGGTATTGGTCGTGCGCCTTCCGGGAACGGTTTGAGTTCCTATTTGCATTGTAACACATATTTACGAACGTGACACATTAATGACGTTGTATGTCATAAAGTTTTTCGGATAAAGATCTTAGCATTATTCTTGTAAAAAAACTATAATTCACATTTTAAGTAAAAAAAAGTATATTATATACTGCATCTGTTTGTAAAAAATATAATTTCTTTCAAATGTGCTTTACAATTTATCTGCAAGACGAATAAATAAGTTACCTCACGACGTGCTCCCTCTGGTACTTGAACCGGGATCGCCCTAGCTTCGCCAGTAATATGCTGGATGATATTCTTAATCTCTAACGGTACTTGCTGAATTATTCTCCTAATTTCTATAGGAATACCCTGGAAAGGAGAGCGTGACTTTTCAGGCGTAACCTGAGGTGGGACAGGTGGTCTCTGTTCGGTTTGTGCGATCATCATAGATGGTATCTGTTGTATTCTTGGATCTTGTTCTTGCGCATCGGCTTGAGGAGGAGGCGGTGGCATCATGGCTGGACCTTGCTCCTGGTTATAAGTATTGGGAACTTGTTCTGCCTGCTGCTGATACACCATCGAAATCTGTTGCGGTTCCTGACGAGGCTCCGGAGCCATCGGTCGCATTCTTCTCATCGGGTCCATTGGGAAATGACGGAGTTCGATAGGGATCTGACGCATCTCGATCTAAACATATAAATATTAAATAATATTCGCACTGATATGCTAAATAAATTATTAATAAATAAATTTTTTTACGATGGTACAATACATACATAATTCGTTTACGTTTGCGTGATAAACAAAACTTACTTGTGGTCCCATCGGATTGTTTTGAGGTCCCATCACAGGCGTTTGCGGGCCCATTCGAGGTGGTCTCATTTCCATAGTCAACTGAGGAAGGTTACGAAGCTCGGGAGGAAGTATACCCGGCGGGATGTGATTCAATCCTCGTGGGTCGCTAAGCGGCAATTGCTGCATATCGGGAACTTGATACTGGGTGTGTATTTGGTATTGATGATAGCCCGGGTTAGGTTCCTGGGACTGGAGAGGAATTTGCACAGTGCCTAGGGGCACGATGATCGGGGTAAGCATTTCTTGATCTTGCTGCCTACAATAAAAGCCATACAATCATTACTTGTTATGTTTTATTGTTTTATCTATTTAATTTACAATTTAAGAATATTTAATTTTACATCCACATGGAGTTGTGGCATTGTTTATTAATTTCTTTAATATTTATAGTAACTGGAAATCTTTTGTTATCGTAAATCTCATTCGCATTACAATAAGTAATATTTTTAAAGATCATATTATATTAGCTATAAATAATAATTTAAATATTCAATAATTTTAATATATTATATATATATTAAAATTGGCTACAATCACTAAATTATCAATTATTTTTTGCAACTTATACGTGTCTCTTTTGATATTACTTACTCTTGGTTTGGATTGCCTGATTCGCAAAGAATGGCAACTCGCTCGCCACTCAGTCTTTGGAAACGCTGCGGATCGGTACTGTTATCTAAACCGTTGTCGCCGGTTCCGTCCATCACCTCGTCGGCTCGTCGTCTTTCAACTACGCAAGAAACTCTACTACGAGCTTGTTGAATTAGTGTCTAGAAAACAATCAAATTTTAAGGTATGATTTACAAGTCAATATTTTTACAAAATTAAGAATTATTAAAAGGCTCGATACAAGACTATATATATACAATAATTTTATATGGCAATTATCATTAAAATACTTATGGAAGAAAATAAAATTTGTAGAATTATAAGAAAATTATATATTTACGCCTGCAATATCATCGAGATCTAACTGAAGAGGAAGCTTAATATGCACAGGAGGGAATTCATCGTCATCATAATCGTCGTCGTCATCATCCCGATCACCGTTTTCGCTGTCAGATTTCGAATTGTTCTCTCCTTCTCCTTGCGCTTTCGTGTCCTTAGTATCTGGCTCAACTTCCTTCTTTGCTGGCGCAACGAGACTTTGTACAGAATCCTTCGATTCGACAGACTCCTACAAATAAAAATTTTTTTTTTATTTTAAGACTTGCATAAATGATATTTTTAAGAAACAGATCTAGGTCTGTGTGTGTGTTACACATACCCCCCAAAAAATCGAGAAAATTTTTGACTATCTATTGTGTAAGATTGAAGTTTTAAACCTACAAAATCGTTTTTTAATAATGTTCCTACGATTTTTTGTTTCTGAGTTACTCGCGGATTAAGTAAAAGTAGCATTCGGATTGTTCATAACTCCATTAAAAATCATTATATTGCAATAAAAAAATATAGATTCTTAAAGCTGAAACTTCGTTCTATCAAATCTATAATCGCTAACTTTTTAAAAATATAATAGAATATATTGGAAAAGGAAAACGAACCATTTTATAATACCGAAAACCGACATTTTTTGCACCAACCTAATATTACGTTTAATTAAATTAAGAGATTATTTAAATATTTTGCATTTACACCGATATCTACATATATGTGTATTGTCTATAGATATTATATATATCAATAATTAAATCTTATTAGAAAATAGGAGGAAAATTATCGCGCGTGGATTTATTGTATACAATGTAAAAGTCGTAGATATCGTGGAAAGTTTGCATTTGTGTTGATAATTTATATTTTCAGTATTTTAATATCAGTAATTACATTATTCATATTAAAAATTAAATAGTTATTGATTTCACAGAAATAAGTTTTATATAAAGTTTTCATTTTTTATCTAATGAAAGAGAGAGAGAGAGAGAGAGAGAGAGATTTGAAAAATTCCAGCGGAAAAAGATGAGTATTCCTTTAAGGTTTTGAAAGCTGGACAAATACCGCCGTGGCAATCATCATTCGTTGATGCAACTTGTCTTCCTGCTCGCGACATCGTGGGGTCACTAGTGAAAGTGAACTCGCATTTATATTATCGCACTGTAACTTCGCCAACGATGGAAATCATATGCGAACAGGAAAATATCCAAAGAGATAAAATAGCAAAATTAGCTTTGCTCTACATGATCTTACAATACGTAAATTAACATTATATTAAAAAAAATGTTTTAAATCAAACTTTAAATATTAAATAATGCGATAAAAGGACTGTCTCTTTCTGCTTCTTTTAAAGAGCTGCAGTATTAACTTTTTCTTAGTAAAAATTTAATTTAAAGTCATTTTTAAGAGTTTTGCAACTTTTTAATTTTTTATGATCAAATATCTTCATAATATAGGCATGAATTAAATTTAGAACAAATTTTATAATCATAACTTAAACATTATCAATTACAGTAATTATAAGTTAATATCATATCATGTAATGACCCACAGTTAAGTTAATATCATAAGTGATAAGATATTAATTTATTTTGGAATAACTTAATACGGAAACGTAGAAAGCGAAGAAAAAAAACGAAGCTCTACTTCATAAGCATGCATTACATTCTTCTGTTTGGCCGCGTTTCTTGATTTCACGCAATTGCGATGTTTGTGCAAGAGACTTTCCGATTCAAGCGCACTATTCGTTCTGTTAGTTGTATCCGGTAAGTCTTTATACAAGCATTAAATTATGGATTACCGCAAACTCGGCGTAAACGTGTTGAAATGCTTCCCCCGATGAATCAATAGTTAAATGCCTTTCCTGCAGCTTTTTAATGTGTAAGCCGATTGGCAATGGATGATTACAATTTTTTGCAAGAAACGTACGTTACAATACCTGCTCAATTGTGGATCATAATGATAAGTTCACAGCATTGCACGCGTAATAATAACGACTATTAATTTCTGGGATATCTGTCTAATGCAATGAATGGTATTGTCTGATTTGTTTGATTCTCTAACAACCTTCTTACTATAATATCTTGTTTAAAAAAAGCGAGAACTGTAAGCAATTAAGCACCGATTTTATATAACACCTATATGACTTCAAAGCTTGTTATGACATACATTCGAATATCTAGCGGTCAGATGATATCCATATAAAATTATTAAGCTCAAAAGTATTCTTTTAAAGACATATGTATACATTGTTTTGGACATTGGATAGAAAACAATTAAAATTTTGAATATATGATGTGAAAGTTCACATCAGTGTTTTAAACAGTTAACTTACAATTCGGATAAGTCAAGTCCCGTAGCGCAAAGAAACGTGAACGTGGCTAAGCACTTTCCACTTGGGGAAATTGCTCAGGATGTAGAAAGGATTTCGCGATAGTCCGGACGAGCGACAACCTGCACGATCAAACTAAAACGGGAGATGAAACTTGCTATACAGGAACTAATATAACTTGCGTCAGAAATAACGTCTTATGTGCATATTTTGCAAAATAAATAGCATTCACATATAATCATGGAAAATACAAGGAAGACTGATATGACACATTATTCATCATGGCTTCATTAAAAAATGTTTCGTTGTTTTGAAGTAGTAACTTTCCGAATCAAATAAAATACTGTTCAAACACACAAGTAGAAATCAAAAAGTTCTTTTATGTAAGTGTCTTATATAGAAATGTCTAAAAAATTTCTAGGAAATAAAATAAAGAGATTAGTTAATTTTTTATTCGTAATTAATTAACTTTTCAAATATGAAATTAATTATTTATTGTCATTAATTTACTCTCTTAGTCTATCATTAACACTTTTTATTTCAGTAAGTAACTAAATAATTCAATACACTTCAGATATAATAAAGGAAAAGCTGAGATTTGCATCGCTGTCTAGAGATTATTCAAAAAATTTCACATCACAAAAATAAATACGATACATATCTTTCTTGCTCGCTGCATTTCTCACTTTAAGCGAAAATTTGCAATACTAATTGGATGATCAATTAAATCACAATTTCGTGTATCTATCAACTGAATTTCTATACGTAACTTAGATAATATTATATACATACACGCAAGATGTAACATGATAACTGTATGTTGCACGATGCATATCACTTTTCTCTGTCTTACTGTATTATTGTAGAGCAATTATTGTACGTATGTCGCGAAATTCCCGATGTGCAACTATCGCGACATGAAGTTCTGCAGAAAAAAGGGAAACGAGAGTTATGTTTCCACCTACTCGAGATTCACGAAGCGTGCGACATGGAAGAAATCGTCATTGCAATTTACCGCAGTGATGACTTCGCCGTATGTCGAATGGCTTTCTTTAGAAAATGCAGTAAACCTCTTCAACCTATCAATTAGCAAAACATTACAATCAATTATGGCTATCTATCGTTTTTAAGACATGTACACGGTGCTGGACACGATAATATGATTGTAGGACGATGCAATGCGATTTCAAAAACTCATTTTGATTGCAATAATACGAAGTTGAATACTATCCATAATCGATCGATATGAGATATGAGTCTTTTCAATCATAATTGAGCCACCATAGTTGAGCGATTGATTTTTCATATATTTTATATTTTGTACTTACATTCACAATATTCACTAAATTTTATATGTATTATTTATCAAATAAAGCCTAGTAAAAATTAATTAAAAAAATTTTTTTTTCTATTCATTGAAATTCTTATTAATTAAAAAATTCATAAATCTTTATAATTAAAATAATCATAAAACAATCAGTTTTCTTAATTCATCACATAATTATGTAATAGTCACGTACATTATTATAGACTATATATATATATATATATACATATTATTGTAAAATGAAATGTACAATATATATGATAAATATGATATTGTATCTTATAAAGAAAAGCATTTAAAAATATTCAATTCGTACATATAACACAATATTATACAGTTGTGTATTGCGTGCGAGCTAAATATATTCAATCCAGTGCTATTTTTCTCTTCGCGAGTTAATAATCATATGTATCATTCCATCTAATGCAAAACGCAGATTCAATCGACAGAAAAGATTCTCGCCTGGATACATTCATTAACATCACTGATCGATCGTTCTCACGTATAAAAAAGGAAGAGTCGGCTACAGTAGCGTTACGTATAGACGAATGAGTCAGAATTCTATTTTTCACCGATGACGTTTGCAGTACGTGTGAACGTAGTACCTTAAGTCGACTTGAAACTGTCAAACGAAAGAGTATAATACAATACAGTTGCCGCGCGAGAGAAAATCTTTTTAGAGAACATTCACCTCTTGCGGTTAGCGCGCGACGGACAACCCACTTTCGTCGTGGTACATTTTCCAAGTATCTGGTTGCTCCAAAGGTGCGATGAAAAAAATTACTACATCCTTTAGGAGTATCTTGTCTCCATGTAATTATCAAGCAAGTTACTGACTCTCGAGTTATGTAATTTTTGTATTTAATTTTGATTTCTACATTTTTATTTTGATTAACAAAATTGAAAGAATTTATTTTTAATTTTATCTAGGCATTATATACATACATAATAAAAACTAAATTATCTAAACATCATGTTTTAATAATTTACTGATAAACAAACTGTCAATTAATCTGCATTCAATAATGTAAATCAAAAAACTCGACCTTGAAAATTAAAAAGTTATAATGTATAATCTAGTTAAATAAAAGATATTTAACTAGATTTTAATAATATAACGTACATTTTAAACAAAAGGTTATTTGATATTTCGTGTTATAAGGAAATGAACAATTCAACACCATTTATTAGATGACTTCCGTTCATCGTAAATTAACTGAAAACGCTTACGAAATCGAGCCATAATTTGCGAGGAAGTACACGTGAGTGTTAATTTCGACGTGCAACTGATTACAAATTAGGAGTATCGTGCGCAAAGATGATCCTTGAAGCAATTCATGTTCTAAAATATCAAAGCCAACCATCCATTTAAATAATAAAACGTCATGAAAACTTTTCTTGTTGTTGTTATTGTAAAGTTATATTATAGGTGATTGTAGCTACGATTAAAAATGTAAGAGGGAAAACGATTCTTTACGGGTTCCAATTTTATTTTTAAGGTAATTACACTTGATAACAGTCTCTTCTTGGAAAAATTTTTTATAAAAATAATAATTGACTTCCCGAGACATTAACTTATTTCGTTTTA